AACAAGAAAGCCTCTACTTATAGGTCGAACAATATTCATCACGTGATTTGTATTACATCTATATATTGATGCTTATTAGCTGTCACAATTAGCTAATGTGCCGATTATATCAAGAATACTTAGTGTGTGATTGGATAGGAACTTTAAAAAAAAAAATAAAAAAAATCAAAACTTCAAATTTAACTGAGCTTTAAATTCCCACTAACAACTAAACATACCACTTTTTTCAAAATTTACTATTGTTAACAAGAAAATCTATCAAAAACCAATTAAATCCATATCCGATTACACCCTTACCGATCTTAGCAAGCTCGTCTAGGAACTTCTGAACTGCAGCCGAGTGCTTCTTCACAGACGAGCCCTTTGGCTCCTTCACCAAAGCCTATTGCATAACAAAAGCTCATAAGAAACAAACAAAAGCACGAAAACCAACTGTGAAAAAAAACTACAGCATAGCTTAAGTCAATAATCTGTATAGTTTTTACTCATGACATATATATACCTTAATCTCGGTCGAAGAAGCTTCATAGATTTCAACGACTTTGGGTTGAAGCTCGGTTTTTTTCTCATCCAACTCTTTCGAATATTGCTCCTATGTAATAAAGAAACCCATATGTACAATTAACACGTGTATTTCCCCAAGATTATTCCTAAGTAAGTTATACTAGAAATTAACAAAACTACCTTAGCTTCATCAAAGGCCTTGCAGGCCTCTGCTGCAGCCGCCTTTTTCGGATTCTCGAAAGCTTTCTTGATCTTAGGAAGGACCTTCGATTTCCAGTAGTTCACCATCTTCATAAAACGTTCACAAGCCGATAAAAAGTGAAATTATTTAGATCAAATCATGAACATAACAAGAAAGCATCAAAAGCAAAGGATTGAGAAAACAGAACAAGTTTATGATAGAAAATCAATCAGGAAGAGAAAAAGGAAGAACCTTTGTAGTAGAACAAAAAAGCTTGATGGACTTCACACAAACTCAAAAAAAAAAAAAAAAAAAAAACACTATTTTTCGTGTTGAATAATAATGAGTATAAATGCTTTTGATTTGCTGGTGTTGATGTCACAATGTCACCAATGGTTGTGTACAAGAAAGACCAACTTTGCTTGATCAATTATATTACATACCAATATAATTATAAATATATAATTGCTGGCTTGTGAACTAGCCTAATGCCTGTCATCAACTGATTAAATTATTAAGAATACATAAATAAAAAAATTATAGTTGATGGCCCATATAATGAAAACTAGTATTTGTTGTCTTGTCAAACTAATAGAATGAAAGTGAATTTTTTTGGATGAAAGATAGTGCTTTATATTCCCTCATAAAATTAAGGTAATGATTTTCTATCAGGTTAATATTATTACGTGGGTTTTTTGTTAGACTAATCTAACTATTATATTAACTTTTTTTTTTCATAAGCATACCTATCTTTAATAGAAATGTCATACTTTAAAAAATAATAATCATATTTAGTACTTACCATATAGTGAATAACGAATAAATGATTGAATTAGTAATTTTAACTAGCTAGACAGATTAGTAGTTTTGATATGCAATAAAAACAATTAATTATACAATTCTCTATTCCAAAAAGCTGATATTTTGATTTTCTTTTTCAAACTTAGACTTTTGAGTTTTAAATTCAAAATGATATTTCAAATTTCTATTTATCAAATAACTAAATTTGAGGTTCTCATGATCAAATCCTTAAGTCACCTTAAATCTCCGACTTATTAATCTCAAAATGCTGATTACAAAACAAAGTCAATATAAACAAAAGTTTTCGATATTATAGTTACATATGTTTATTAAATAGTATAACGAGTCACCTTGTTTAAACATATTAAATAGTATAACGAGTCACCTCGTTTAATGATTAAGTTACCTTACACCAAAATTTATCATAGTTTTTTTTAATCGACACATAAAATTATTCAAAACAAATAAATAAAAGTATAGTAGTAACCCATATAATGGAACACTAGGATTTGTTGTGTCAATATTTGATTTTTTTGTGGATGAATGCTTTATATTGGCAAATCTCACCTATCCATGGATACCTAATTTCAACCGTCGGATTCATATGCATATGAAGTATATGTGACTTTGTAAAATCCAACGGTTAAAACCTCATGAATTTGCCCTTAATATTCCCTCATAACATAAAATGAAGCAAATGATTTTCTATCAATCAAATTAATCAAATAGTATGAAGGGGCTTTTTATCATCACACCTTAAACTGCAGAGATTACTTAATGAAATGATTTGAACTGGGAATCACATCAATCATGGCGACTGCTGATCAAATGACAGCTGGCGAAATGACAAAGTGGGACCAACAGGTGATGGTTAAGTGGCGATGCTCATCTCCTAAATATTTTTCAGCTGCTTTCATCTCACGTGGCTTCGCTGGTTTATGGACAAAAAAAACAGCAAATAACAGACAAACAATACAACAAATCATTTTTCTCTGGCTATGGGTGTCATATATTGCAAGTAGAATTTTTGGAAATTTTTATGTTATGTTATTATAGAAACAGAAAAAAAAATGGAAAAAGAAAAAAAAAAGGGATATATTGGAATAGAATACAATATTTAAAAAATGATTTGCAAATATAATATATATATACAGCGGTTAGAGTTCATGTAATAAAGACATGGTTTAACTTGTTTGTAGATTTGCAATAATTATTAAATTTTATTTTAAATTTTTATTGGTGAGAATGAATAAATTTTACCTTATCATGAAATAAATAAATATGTGTTCTGAAATAAAGGGCGAGTTGTATATATCAACTTATGAGTCGTGCAGAGTTGAAAGAAAAGGAATTAGTCATTCAAGTTAGGAATAAAAACTGAAACTTACAAGTTTTGACTATGACTCAAAATGTGTTCACTCGCTCAACTCGGCCGAATCAAGAACAATGTTGTTTTTACCCTTCTAATTCAATTTATGTTTATTTCAAGGTTTTTATATAAAATTTCAATCATATTTCCACAACTTTTAGATTTATCTATTTAATAGTTAGGTAAAAATCTAGTCATGCCTCATTCCACCTAAAGGTGTCGTGTACACCTCGCCTCAACCTAGCAAAATATGCACTCGAACTTTAAAACATTGATACAAATCAAAAAATAAAATGATACATAATTTATATCTTTGCAGAATACAATTACCCTTCTAAAAGCTAATAATAATAATGCAACAAAATCCGAAAAAAAAAAAAGTTAAAAAAATTATGCGTCTATTATATATAATTTTACATAAAAAATATATATATACATCAGTACCTAAAATAACAAAAACACAGCATGTTATACACACACGAGAGACTATAAACTCCAATAAGCTGCACGTCTTTTTCGAATATTTTACAGGGCCAAACATTTTCAATGCAGCATAATATCATTTGTCCCCATTTTAAATGCTCTTATGAAAGCTCTAACCAACAAAATCAAAAAGCATATATCATATCACAAAAGTTAAACTTATAAATGACCATAATATTTAATGTCTATGGATACTGTAGAACACAATTTTTTTCTTACCATAATCCGAGTAGTTCTCTAAGAACTTTTGCCATCTCCCGTTTCTTGTTTGCCGTTGTTTACGGCTATTAGATAGCCTTCTCTTCGAATCGAGCTCTGCAAAACACAAGTCAGCAAATGAATGTCGTGAATGTAAAACTCAAATCACTTACCATTGGATGTTCAAAGAAAACGATTTTTCGGAATATTTTTAGCCAAATTAAGTGCCCGGTGATATTCGTAGCACTGTATCAAATCCCTGAGTCTCAATCCAGCCAATCCTGTTCCTGCACAAATCATAGGTAGCAAACAAGCATCTTCAGAATAAGGGTAACTAGAAAACAAAAGAAAAAAGATAACTTATGTGAGGACCATTTATCAGGAAATATTCCATCAAACAAAGCAAAAAAATAATAATAATAATAATAATAAAAAAATCAATAATTAGTGTCTTTTTTCAATTCAGGATTTTGATTTCAAATGTTTAGTTCTTTCAGGGAACAATTCGATATAGAATATTTTAATTTTTCATTTGATCGAGCAAAATGTGTTTCATTGAAGTTTTGAATACAGAAAGTTCTCATTATATCATTTTGTTCCTAACCCCATCAAGGCATCAACACAATTGAAAATAAGAACCAATCAATGCCATACATTTTCCAACAAAAAGCTATTTGCTTAAACAATCATTCAAAATATTACTATTTAATTATTATCACATCAACTTCAATCTCAAGTTTTTATCATAAACCGAGTCACAATCTCAAAAAATGTTTCACATGTACTTCGAAAAACTTATCACCTTTTTATCATTACTGCTTTTTTGGAGAATTTAAGATTTCTAAGATTTTTTCCGGGTTAAACTTTTCAGGGTTCCATGCTTTCCAACTTTTGAGGGTTCTTTTTCTCTGTTTCTAGATATTAAAAAAACAAAATAAACAAAAAAAAAAAAAACAAAAAACATTTTAGTCTAGAGGGTAAGTTGTTTGACAGGAATGTGGCTAGATAAGATAAAAATTATTAACATGAGGCATGCTGATTAACTCCATGTGCTAGAGAGTCTTCATGTTGTCTAAGTCCCATGTATTACTTAGGTTCATTCTTCCAGATTACTTAACACTTATCTTCTACTTGCAACATTTTCTACATAGTTTAAGTTTGTGAAAGTTCATTAAGATAGAAAAGATGCAAATGTTGTGTCATCATATAAATAATTGTATTACAGCCTATAATTGTAATGACTATTATTCTTATTATTATTTTTATTGTTTTGCATTAGTTAACTTTTAAGAAAAAACTATATTTTTAATTAATATAAATATTAAATTTATATAATAAAATATATATCACTATAATTGTTTCTTTTTTTCGATATTAGTTTTTATAAATACAACTTATACTATTATAAATATTAATATCTATAAATAATTCTCATACATTTATAAATAATTCTCATATTATTATTTTATGTACGGTACCATGTGCATGTGCATATGATGTAATACTAGTTTAGTTAAATTTGAGCTATCAATTAATCTGATAATTACCAACTAGCATTTCAATTAACTTCATCAAATAAAACGAGAAGGAAAACAAAAGTTGGATTTAGGAGGAATGTCATTTCATTTTCATTTTATTTTTTTTAATACCTTTTATGCTTAATATTAAAAATTTCCATAACCAAAATCCCATTCTTTCTTCTTATAAAACCCAAAATGAAAAAATCTCTATTGTTGTTTTGCTTCATCTCCTTTTTGTTCTCTTTCTTCCTTATCAATCTTTATCAGCTGGTTACATACAAAATCCAGACCCCATACGCTCCCTATGTATGAGTGAGAGATTAATCAGTTAATCATTTATTCGAAAAAAATCGTTTATACCGGTGAACACAGACTCCTTATCGAGTTTTTTTACCGTTGGATGAACACCTATGAGTGTAATCCAATGGTAAAACCCATGAAAACAGACTAAACAGTATCATTACTGGTAGGATTAAACGTTCCCACATATTCATCATCTATGCTATGCCAATCTTTATCTGACATCCATCTATGGACATATTAACCCCATCATAAAAACTAATTGTATAAATAATACTACGTTTTAATAAAATGAACATTCATGTAGAATATACTAAAAAAAATAACGATCAATTGAACTATATTTCAACAATTAACACTGCTCATCACAGTAATAGCTCACAATTTGGAGTAAAAGAGAACCAAAAAGAAATCAAAACAGCTAAATAAAAATATTGTTGAGATGTTTTTGAAAGGTTCAACTGAGGAAATGCATACAATCTCAAAATTCGTTTTTCAGAATGCATACCGACCCAGTTTTCGACCTTCCTCTTTTAAGGGGAGAAATTAACAACACAAAAGGAAAAAACATTTTTGCCTTTATCAACTCTACGAAAAAATAGTAAATAATCCAGTAAACACATCAATTATCACATTATTACAATACAAATTATATTGTATTATATTATATTAAAACACCGGTATAAGGGAGATAAAGCAATGATGAGAGCCACAAAGCACGCACCGTTAATGGGGAACCTCTGCCTGCTCATATTTAGGCAGCTGAAGGGGCTCCTGTAGTGCTGGGTTAATCGGGAAAAGCATACATTGCGCATATTGTGCCATTAACTGATCGACCAGCACCAGAGCAACCATTGCTTCTACAATCGGGACAGCTAAAAAGACGAAAAGAGAAATAACATTTCTCAAAATTACAGATACTTGATATATGTTAAGGTTCATAAATTGCACCTAGTGAGTGGGTGAAATGCAAAACAGACAAGACACCAAAGGGACACTAGAGGTATATTGACATGACATTTGTGGTTTGTAAAGGTAAAGAGAACTCCTGATCCTAAAACAAAGGGGTGGTTTATGTAATCATTTTTTCTAAATTAAATTACATGTCCGGTGTCCTAACATACCGAAAATTGCAAGGAAGCAAGACTAGTTCCATATTTCCATTAACATTATAAACAAGAATAAACAGTTAATAGGGTATAACTAAAAGGATCACACGATCTTTAGATAAATGCAAAAGATTATTATATCATCTCAGCAAATGTACCTCGTGAAACAACACAAGGATCGTGACGGCCTCGGACTATGAGCTCAGTGTCGTGCTTGTCTCTCGTCACAGTATGCTGCTTCTTCTGCAGGAAAGTTTATAAAATAATTGAGAAGTAAATTTGAGATGACACAGTTGATGTAGCTCTTAAGCCTTTATCGGTTCAGCCTAATGTTTGCAATAAGCTGATGATATAGGTTACAAGCTACAGGTAAACACTTGTATGTGAAATATTGGGCTGCCAAATGAGAATGCAACTTAGTTCTCAATTCATCATTCTTTCCACATTCCATTAAAAATATGAGCTGATATAAATGTTACATTATTGTTCCAGAGCCTATCAAAGCCATGGATCTTCTATGCATATTCATCTACCAACCACAACTCACAAGGATCAACTGCTAAGTTCTGTATTAGGCAAATTTTGCTCAAACCCAGTAATTATTAGAGAACAAAACCAATGAGTCAACAAAACATAAGCGTTCAACATGTCTTAGATTGATCTTGTACTGGCCCCACATGGTTACAGCTTATTAAAGCTCCATACTAGAGATCATAACTTAAGCGCATTTCCGAAGCCTAACGCTTCAAAATTTGAATAAAGTACCACTCATGACTAAATCACATAAAACTAGATAAAGAAGGGTTATAATACGTATTTGTTTGGTTAGTCAGAATCTTGAACAAACCCAGCAACAATATATGAATGAATGTCTGAAAACTAATGTATCCAACACTTCTTTAGCTTTTTACAGAGTCGAGCGATCAAAATCCAGGCACAAGAAAACTGAAGATGAGTGTGAAGAGAAAGAGAGAGACGACATACGAAGATTGTAGGTGTTGGCTTGAAAGCTATTCTCATGTTAATTGTTTCTCCATTTGATATTCCACCCTGAAAATGAATATGGTATCATGAATAACAAACTGGAAAATGATGAACAGAGGATTCCATACTTAGTTCACAAAAGCTATCTGAATTAAACATACCTGTACCCCACCAGACCGGTTGGTTTTTGTCCTAATTCGACCTTGTTCATCCATGTAGAATTCATCATTATGCTCACTACCAGTCATAAATGTACCTGTTTAATATTTTCATCACGAGGACCTTAGCAGTTAAATAGTTGGTCATCAAAATAATGCAACATTGTAAATCAAAAACCCGTATGATTTCACACCTGCGAATCCACTGCCAAACTCAAAGCCTATTGTTGCAGGTACTGACATAACAGCTTTTGCCAACTCAGCTTCAAGTTTATCAAAGACTGGAGAACCAAGTCCCTAACAAGGCACAAACAGATTCAGCATTTTTCTCAGAGTTCTGAAGTAACACGGATAAAATGTAACAAGTAACATCACATAAATAAGAGATGCACAAAGGTGGAGAGGAGGAATTCATAGTGAGGAAGGAATGAAGAACAGTGCTAGCATACCCGTGGTACATTCCGAACAACACAGGTGACAACACCCCCAACAGAGTCACCTTTCACTCGGACAGCATCAATAGCAGCAATCATTTTTTCCGCATACTCAGGGTTTGGGCACCTTACGATATTGCTCTCTATCTGAGAAGTTTAGATTATAATAAACTTCAATGTCTTATTAATGCTTAATTAATACCCATGCTAACTTTTCTTTTCCAAAAGGAAAAGGAAAAGAAAATAAACTTGGAAAAATATGTGTAGAAAATTAAAGACCGAATGGGATGGGAAAACAGACAACTCAGGAACATAAGAAATATATGTGGACTTCCGTTGATTAATGTGCATTCATGAAAAACTGGCACATCCTTCCTTTCTAACTTATCTTATCTGAACAGTCCTTTATTTAAATATGTGAATTGTATGTTGCGTAAAAAACACATTAGGTTTTCATTGTTCTAATAATTTCCATGTCGTTTTAACAAATCAGGGTTACATAAAATTATATCAATACATAGAAAAATACAACTTGGATCATATAACATCTTAATGCTTTGCCAGCAGCACAGTAATAATAATAATAATAATAATAATAATAATAATAATAATAATAATAATAATAATAATAATAAACAAAACAAAACAAAACATGACCATAACGGCGGACTGCTACTGCTGGAGAACACCCTCCCCAGTCATAAGAAATTGGTACTTATATCATACAGAACAAACAATAAATTAAATATTAAACATACCTGATCAACAGTCACATTTTCACTATCAACCAAATTTTCTGGAAGGACAACATTGTGCACTTGAGAAACATAAGCAAGAATCTGTCACAGAAAGAATGAATATATTATTAGAAAATAATAGAAAATCCACAATTACACGATATGCATTTCCAGCAACTATCATGATCTGATTGACTTCATCATTATTATAATGTGCTCTCTCCCACCCCTTAACCAAAAGAAATTAAATGATTGAGAACATCAAAATCTTTCCTGCTTCTCCAATTAAAATTCCCATGATCAAGGGGAAGTCCTCTTGATTTATCACTTAATATAATGAAGCTACAGAACAACAATACAGGGTCCAGCTAAAGCATCTCATTCACAATGGTATGGAATTGCTAGTGCTAGAGTCACTTCAATTGAAGCTTAATCATGAAAGGTAATAAGAATGTATACTTAAGACGTATGGGTGCATATGAGTACACAACCGTGAACGGACTACAAATGTCTCTGTTTGGTAAGAATGTGAATAACATAATTACCTCACAACTAATCTTTCAAAGGAAAAAAAAAAAGAACTTACTTCAGTCCCTGCACATTGCTTTAGTATCTTCTTAGCCACAGCTCCAGCAGCAACCCTCCCAATTGTTTCTCTTGCAGAAGATCTACCACCACCCTGGTTCCAAAAACACACAAATCAAAAGTTTCATTTCTATAAAAGAAATTGCTGCATTCCAGGAAGATAGTAAGAGATTAAATAAATTGAGAAAGAAATTTCCAATGACATAGATGTAGAAGCTATTTCAAGTACAAGATGGTACCTGCACTGATCTAACGCCATACTTGAAATCATAAGTTGCGTCTGCATGGGATGGCCTATAAGCTTGAGACATTTCACTATAGTACTGGAAAAAAATCCAAAAAAAAGAATGAACTCTATTAGCCGTATTACGACATGCATACACCTGTTGTCTGTTACATAACTTTCAAGAAACTTGTAGCAAGAACTTTGATTTAATCTGCTCATGACCACTGCCTCAATTAGAAATTAATGTTATCATGTTATATGTACCGTGTCCTTCCCATCTATCAAAAATAACTATAAAAATTCAAAAGGTTGAAATGAACATCATATTTTTCAAAGGGTTACACCGAGAAAGCATAACAACTCTTCAATTACAGCTTTTTATTTATCCACCTCAACCACCATTAGAGGAAACACAGAGATGTAGCGGAACATAAGGAGAGATCATGGATGCTTACATGTTCTCTTTGATCTGTATTGGGCACTTCTACCTTGATTGGAGATCCGGTGGTGAACCCTACAGTGTATAGATTACACATCAGTTCTCTTCAATAAACATACAAGGACAACAATTTGAAGTGAAAGGTGCAAGAGAAACAAAGGAATCAAGAAATAACTAACCATCAGCAATTCCCGAAGCTATTTTACAGGTGTCCGTCTCTTTTCTAGTAGTGGTTATTCGACTCTGACCTGGCCTCCTAATGGCAGAACAACATATTCATGGTCAGTGTATAAAAAAATGTTAAAGCACCTCAAATCTTCCAAAAGAAAGCGTATTGTGTTAATAGAAAGTCGTTTCTCATATATCCTTACAGATCCTTTAATGGAGCACGTGACATTAGTTATGTGTTCAGTGTTAGCCAGCAGGACCATATATACAAGACAATAGACAAACATATTTTTCTATCATTACTTAAAAAAGATAAAAGGAGGTCTTGAACAACATAAAAGAGGTTTATACAACAACTTAATATACACCTTCTATCCAGATCAACTTGCATGTCCTCTTCAGAGAGGGGAAGTCTCGGAGGGCATCCATCAATCACACACCCCACACCACCCCCATGAGATTCTCCAAATGTTGTAACTCTGAAGTAATTTCCATAGGTGTTACCAGAGGCTTGTATTTCTGTAAACAACAAGCATATAAGCATTTTCGGTGACCGGTAACTTGTATTCAACATTATATTAACCTTTCTATCACTCCAGAACCAAGACATCTATAGAAACAACTGGGTAAGAGTATAAAATTTTTATAGAATGAACAAAGGTTCCTCAACTTCCGTAGGCAAAATTTACTTAGACGATATCATGTTTCAGAGATGACAAATGAAAATATAGAAGCTAAGATAGTAATCAGAACTAGACTGTCTGGCTAAGCTGCATTTCCCATCCACCAAGAACTAACAATTGTTGGATTTCGCAAACACGTCACTTTTCATCATTTGTGAATACTAGTGAAAGACGAAGAACATTAACACAAAAAGGGAAAGAAGACCCAAATACACACACAATCCTGGAAGCAGTAAATGATAGAACAAGGATGTTCAATTCGGAGATTTGAAATAATAGCTGACCAAAGGCCAAAATCAGAAACCAATAGCTAAAACAACATGCCAACCACATCTCATAGAATATTGATGTCCGTGCCCATCTATATAATTATTTCTCTTAGATTTCTAGTCAAATATAACACTAATAAACATAAGATCAAACATACTAAGAGTGTAGTCTATCAAAATGTCAACCAAGGTTCTGTATGCAAAGGAGGGGAACTGCAGCTAGAATATGTCACTCTTGTAGTCCATCACATTTCCCAGAGGTTGATAATATATCAGCATTACTTGGTTCGTCTCCTCCCAAAATCATTTAACCCTAAGCTAATCAAGCTCAGGCACTATTAGCTACACAAATGAAATTAAAAATTAATACTACGGCCCTTCACCACAAGCAATCAACAAAATCTCAATTCAGGGAAGCTGCATTTTTCCAAATGATAAACAACCAAATTCCAGGAGAGCTGCTAAAACTCGGGAATGAAGCCCAATCCAGGCTTAACTTTTTGAGTTTCACTAATCCCGTCAGCTCAAATAGGTGAAAACATCAAAATCAACATACTAAACAAACGTAATTCCAATCCTCTCTGCATTTCCTCAAGCAAGCCAAACACAGCATGCAGAGAGAGCTAAGGCCAATAGCTATTATAATTCAGCACAACGGAATAAATGAGAAAAGGACCAGAAGATACGCACCGAATCGTTTGTGTCGCGATCTGCGGGAAGGCAACTGGATGCTCGGCGACTGGAGAGAATCGAGGCGGCGAGCGAGTCCGTCAGAAGAAGGCGGACCTCCGACGAAATGCTTGGCGTCGAGGTAGGACGCCATGACGGCAAATGTCGGGTTGGTTGTCGTCATGGAAAGGTTTGATGTGTGTGTGTGTACGAGAAAGATTATGAAGTGCTTAGCGAAGAGGATTTGGGTGGTGTAGGTGTAGCGACCGGCACACGTGAAGGGCCCAGTCGAATTTTGCACATGTTTGAAATTGGGAGTTTGGAGTTACGTTTGTCGGTTTGTGTCTATCGTTGTGTTTATGCCATTGGCGAAAAATGTCTGCAATATATTAATTTAAAACGTGAGCTTAAGTGGTAATATGAGCGGTTTAAAATCCTACATGTCACAATATCATGTTTCATATTTAGGTTCCGATAAAAAATTTAGAAATAAAATTAACTTGAAAAGTACCATGAATAATTTTTCTACCATAAATTATTGTGTTCCACCAATATCTCTTTCATTACCAAATTGTTTTTAATTGAAATTACAGATAAAAAAATCTTTCTTTCCTTACTTCATTTTACTAAGGATTTATCCCATTCATTATATATATATATATATATATATATATATATATATATATATATTCTTTTTTCAAGTTGATAAATTTTAGTCTATTTTTTAAACTGTGTTTTTGTTTGCCTGATGAATAATGATAAACTAAAATTATATATTATAGTTATATTGATAATATAATTAATAAAATCTTAACAAAACACGTTCCTTATATTAATTTTAAAAAAAATTAGCCCTTATCATCCCTTATCTTATTTTTTCAAGTTGATAAATTTTAGCTCATTCATCATATTTTTTTTATTTTTCCAAATTGATAATTTTTAGCCCATTCATCATATTTTCTTGTTTTTGCAAGTTGATATATTTTTGTTTTTTGAGCCTGTGTCTTTGTTTGCTTATTGATGAATTTAAATTATATTTTATAATTATATTTATAATATAATTAATAAAATATTAACTAAACACATCCCTTATCTTATCTTGATTTACGAATGTCACAATTCATTACAAAATTTGTGTTGCGACAAGGATGAAAAAATTGTAAGTAGAACTAATAATGTTGTGTGCAAATAATTTTATTATAATTTGAAATAAAATACCAATGTACAATAGTTTTTGTCTTATGAAACTTTCGTTTATTTATTTTACGTATACTTACAATAATTAAACTCTTTTACTTTTTTCATCCAAATTATTTTTTTATGTACGCGTGTAGTACACGGGTGTCGTACTAGTGAGCATTTAAAACAAAGTGGTGAAGGAAATTAGAACAATTTCTCTCTTCTCCGAATAAAATCTCATTTCTCTGCAGACCGTCGTGATTTTCTTTGTACTAATTTTTGTTAAGTGTTTTATTCTTCTTTTGGAAGCCTTTATTCTCCATTAGTGGGAGTTGTATAGTTTTTCATATTGTGGGCGAGTTAGCGTAGTGGTTCTAAACTGCACTTGTGTATTTCTCCCACTAGATTTAGTTGGATGACCGTTTGGCTAATTCTAGCTGGTGTCTATATATAATTATGCATTTTTTATTTGATTTCTCGTTCTAAAAAAAATAAGGTAAAAATGTGGGAGTGAAAGGCGCGGTCCAATCATGGCATGTTCGTTTTTGTCTTGCATATACAATGAAGAAATGAAAAGGCACGTGAGCATCTTTGCCTTACATATGTAGCCAATCTTTTTGCCCACTTGACTACTACTTACTAGTATATGTAACACATGACGAACAAATATTTTCAATGTGTCATTCTTATATGGCATGTTCCTTTAGGCCCAACATTATAGTTGGATCATCCATTTTTTATCCTTTTTAATTATTTTTGTTGTCTTTAGTCAGAACGTTAAAGCGGTAGAGCTAGCTTGTAAGTTAATTAATATATTATCCCGCTAACATGTTTATACTTATATATATTTAATTTTAATATATATATATATATCTTTATATATAATAAAATAACAGTTTTACTTATCCTTGTTTTTCATATGATACTCAATTATTATTTTAATCTCAAATATATGGTCAATGCCGTTATTATTGTTATTTATAAAAATTATAGAAGTAAACATTATTATGTTATGTAACGAAAAATATTTAATGTACGTTCATATTATTTATAATGTAAATAAATTTAAAATAAAAAATTTTGTATAAATGTTTACAAAATATACACCCATGTGATTCTATGCAATTGTTGGTATTTATCCTATCTTATAATAATTAGAAATATAAAAATAATTGCGTATATCATGCGTAATCAATAACAACTATTTGTAAAAAATAAAAAATTTTAGTCACATTGTAGGTTTATTTATGTTAATTAACCAATTAATGAAATAGTCATCCTAAAGTTTTTTTTACCTGTATGCATTAGATTTTATTTTTCATAACAAATTAAAATTTTTGTTTTAGCAATCGTTAAATAAATAAATTCTTTCAATAATCAAAAGAATTTTCTAATTTGCATCATAAGGTTTTATGATTTATTTAGCATACTATGCAATAAAAATAAAAATAAAAAATAAATAAATCATGTTTGACATTTAATATATAAATAAGTCAAATGTTGAAAGTTTAATATTTTTTTTTTTTTGTCTAA